AAAAAAAAAAAAATATATATATATATATATATATATATATATATATATATATATATATTTACCTGATTTACATGCATGTACCCAGAGGATATTTTCATAATGTTTTTAGTTTCATTTGGTATGTCAAAGCTGAGTCTGTTTAGATCAGCTGCTCAAGTTCCAACATAAAACATAGATCTTTGCCTGCACGTGAAAATGGTGTGCATTTTTCACATGCCTTACAATCAGTAAACACTGATTTCCGTTCCCACGTTGGTCAAAAAAAAAAAAATTCTGTTTACTTATCCTGCTCTGACCTTAAGGCGGTTTGTGTCTCAAAACACCACAAGGGTTATTGGAAAGCAGATGTTAGACATATGGTGAAGATTTTACTTTATCACAAACAAAAAAAGTATCCATGTTGTAAACGGACAAAAAATTCTCAGAAAAACAAACTATAGAGCTTGGTTTAATGGGTCACAGTTTTTGCTGTTTGTTTTTGATTTCCGTGACATGACTTGTAGGTGTGTCTTGTGTAATTTTGGATTAGAGGATCGAATTAAATTGATATTAAGAAAAACATGTGGGCAGATCTTGCACACCCACTTTTCTGAATGGAGATGTAACACCTGTGCCACAGCCTGAAGATATTTGGCACCTTTTCTGATTCTTGTTTCATAATGACAGTGGAGAAAACAACAGATCAAATAATCTGGCAGAGAATCCATGGAACAATCAAAAGTAATTGCACAACATTTTTATTTTATTCTATTTTATTTTGTTTTGTTTTGAAATGGAAGAAAAATACAAAAATGTTGCTGCTTCAAGTGCACAGGTCTACAGGAATTCCTAGATTATCTTTCAATTGATATTCTATCAATACACCCGCACATCCATCGTCAGTGTCCATTCATTTGGATTTCAGTGTAAAAGTGTTCGTGACTAGAACTGTGGTATGAGTGAGCACTGAAGGTCAAAGCCAAGTGCACATTATATGACTCAAGCCCATGGCCTTTAACTTGGTCAGATGTGGAGGATCTTTCACTGTAAACAGGCATGCCAGGCCTTTGTCAGACTCTATTGTGCCAGAATAGAGGAATGCCCGTAGGCAGGGCGTCAAGCAGGCTTAGTGTGAGACCATTGCATAGTCTAGTCTTGCTGGAATGAGAAGAGTCTCATAACAAAGACACAGTCAAAACTGACTGGCACATCTAAGATTAAGAGTAATGAAGGAATGAAACAAAATGTACACTTAGACATAATGCATATTATGCAATGATTATTTCAGTAATGGCACTTCAATAAGGTTCACTTTGTTAACATTAGGTATACATTGCTGTTCCAGAGTTTGAGGCTAATGTGTTTTTTGGATGCATTAGATGGATCAGAAGTGACAGTATTAACAGTGCTGTTACTTGGGCACCATATCAGCATATTCAAATCATTTCTGAAGGATCACGGGACTTAAAACGGGATTGGTGGAAGCTGGATTAATTCAGCTTTCCCATGTTATGAATATGACATTTTTAAAGATATATTCAAATGCTGTTTTTACAATGACAAATTAAATGCCGTCTTGGTGAGCATTAGAGATTTCTTTCAAAAATCTTGCTGACCCCATATTTTTCAGTGGCAGTGTATACATGTATATTTGGTGTAAACCTTTGACCCAAAACTGATAAATTAACAGGGTGTCCGTGGGTCCTTAAAAAGTCTTAAATAAAGTTTTCCTAATATAAGGCCTTAAAAAGTCTTAAAATGTCTTAAATTCGGATTCGATGGGTCTTAATTTTTTTTGGTCTCATTATCTCAAAATATCTTCAGTCTGTGACCATATACAAATGTGATATTGATTTTTTACAACAGTTCAATAAACTAGAAGTTTATTAAGAGACTTACGTTTTAGACACCATATTGCCTGTTTTTGCACTAGACTTGTTCAAGTCTGCAGAAACCCTGAAGTAAGTAATTTGTGCACATACCTGTGTTTGTGTTTTCCAGATGTGTTTCATTGTATTCTGGACGCCTCATGTTTCTGAACGCATCCTGGTAGATGTCATTGGGGTGGATATGGCCTTCGCACAGCTCTGCATCATTCCACTGCGAGTCTTTTCCTTCTTCCCTGTGCCTGGTACCATAAAGTATTTTCTTTAACCTTTTTACTTGACTTTGTACTGCATATGACTTTATATGATTTACAGTGCATTACTGTATATCTATGTGACCTTGTGTCTGTGTTTTTCTATCAGTTATGGTTCGAGCTCATCTGACGGGCTGGTTAATGACGTTAAAGAGAACTTGTGTGCTGGCACCTAGTTCAGTTCTACGCATCGCTGTGCTCATCACCAGCCTTCTGGTGCTGCCTTACATGGGGTTAGTATACAGAAGGAATATACAGGTGCATCTCAATAAATTAGAATGTCGTGGAAAAGATCATTTATTTCAGTAATTCAACTCAAATTGTGAAACTCGTGTATTAAATAAATTCAATGCACATAGACGGAAGTAGTTTAGTAGTCTTTGGTTCTTTTAATTGTGATGATCTCAACAAATTAGAATATATTGAGATGCACATGTACAAACATGCTAAATGCATCTCATTGAAATATCTTCTGAATGTGCTTCTCTGCTCAGTATGTGATTTGTGAAGTAATTAGCTCTCATACTGCCTCTGAATTTTTACCATTTTTTGAACCATTTCAAATCCCTGTCTGCATTTTGTGAATTAATTATGATTCCACACCTCAGCTAATGCAGACTGCTGCAGCAACTTTTAAAATAAGCTCAGAAAATTGTTATTTAAAGGATCTTTTGGGTTTGTCTTTGTACAGAGTGCATGGTGCCACACTGGGAGTGGGGTCTTTATTAGCAGGATTCATGGGGGAGTCCACCATGGTCGCAGTGGCTACCTGTTACGTATACCGAAAACAGGTGAGAAGCAATCAGACTGCAGAAGTCAATGGTTCTGCAGAAATATTACAGCTTGTGTCCTATATACCTTATTTTTCAATGTGAAATTAAGCTTTTTTTTGTGAATATGCGAGACTTCAGATTCATTAGGCTCTATAGATATAAGAATAAGTGCAGTAAACATAATGCTGTTTATGTGTTTATGATTAAATTTAAGTAATATGATAACAAATCAGTTTGCAACATCAAGCAGCATAATGGACTGTTGTACAGATAAAATATCTGGAAGCAGATGGCACCGGACACCTTACACATTCATGTTAAAAATTCCAGTGATATTATGTTTGTGTGTGCTATTCTCTTAAATCTAAAACAATTATTAAAACAGGTGTAACACTTTAGATTACACATTCACTATTAACTAAGAGTTTTCCCTCAAATAAACTCCTAATTTGCTGCTAATTGATAGTAAGGTAGTTATTGTAGTTAGGGATGCACGATATATCGGCCACCATATCGGTATCGGCCGATAAATGCTCATTTTTTCTGTTATCGGTATCGGCCCAATAAGAAAATTTGGCCGATATCTTAAAGCCGATAAATAATGCATTATTTCCTTCAGAGACACTTCAGATGCGCGCTGTTCGTTTGCAGCCTTTTGTGCAATTGTACGTTGTAATATTGTGTTTATTTGATGTATATCTGATTTATCTCATATAGAATGCGTTTGGTTAAGTTAAAAGAGCGCTTCAGTTTACCGGTGATCAACTCAAACAGCAGTGCACAACATTAATAACTATGATTGGGAATGTTGTGTATATAACATTCTAATGAGAACATTATTATAATAAAACGTTGTGCATTCTTTGGGTTTAGTTGCTGTGTTTCAGCGCGTTGTTATGGGAAGAGCGCATCCACAACAGGATCACACATTCTGACTATAGCATGCAATAACTGCGTCATTTTGTACATATATAAGTTGTAATATTATGTTTATGTTGTATTAATATTAATCTCAGGATGCATTTCCTTGAGTTAAATAAGCTGCCAGCAAAACGCTTCAGTTTACCGTGTTCATTCAGCTCTTCAGCTTCAGCACGCGCAGCTCAACGGCTGCTATTTAAAACAGTGGTATTAATTTGTTACTTTTTCAAAATCATTGATACATTATTAATAATAACAACCACTTGTATTTTTCTATTATTATTTTCATCAGCAATATGGTTTAGTAATTAAAATCATTTAATTATTGTCCGTGCAGAGGCTATTCCGTTTTATTGATCTATGGCGCATTCATTTTGATTCTTTACACGTGTAATGATGTCCAATGACTTGTTTGCATTATTTATGCATTATTTTATTTGTAAGACTTTTTTATGACTAAATTTGGTAATGGGAGAGTAAAATTATTTTTAAAACATACACCGTTCAAACTAGGCTGCTTATGTTGAAGTGTTCGGGATGTGGTTTTTAATGATGAGACCTTTTTTGTAATCAGGCTCTCAAAAAGTATATAAAAATTTGGATATAGATTAATCGGCCAACATATCGGTTATCGGCTTTCAAAAATAAAGGATTATCGGTTATCGGTATCGGCCAAAATTTTCATATCGGTGCATCCCTAATTGTAGTAATTACAGTTAGGATAAAACAAAATGCTATTGTTATTTTTTATTTAGTACTGACCTGAATAAGATATTTCACAACGTTTACATATAGTTCACAAGAGAAAATAATAATACCCATTCAAAAGTTAACAAATGCTTGATTCTTAATACTGTGTTGTTACCTGAATGATCCACAGCTGTTTTTTTAGTGATAGTTGCTCACGAGTCCCTTGTTTGTCCTGAACAGTTAAACTGCCTGCTGTTTGTCAAATCCATCAGGTCCCACAAATTCTTTGGTTTTCCAGCATCTTTTGCATATCTGAACCCTTTCCAACAATGACTGTATAATTTTGAGATCCATATTTTCACACTGAGGACAACTGAGTGTGAAAACATTAGAGACAACTTGCTCATAATGCACTACAACAATGCATTAAGAGCAAGAACAAAATGAAGATATGTACATTTTTCTTATTTGACCTACTGTAAATATCATGCTTTTTTTTTTTTCATTTAGTACTGCCCTTCAGAAGCTACTTACATGTTTACCAGAACACAAAATAAGTTCAATTTACCCTGATCTTCAAGTTCAAATTCAGGCTCTTAATTCAATGTGTTTCCTTCTGGAGCATCAAGGAGTGTTTGAACTTTTTATAATACAAACCCGATTCCAAAAAAGTTGGGACACTGTACAAATTGTGAATAAAAACAGAATGCAATGATGTGGAAGTTTCGAATTTCAATATTTTATTCAGAATACAACATATGACATATCAAATGTTTAAACTGAGAAAATTTATCATTTTATGGGAAAAATGTTGATTTTAAATTTCATGGCATCAACACATCTCAAAAAAGTTTGGACAAGGCCATGTTTACCACTGTGTAGCATCCCCTCTTTTTATAAGAGTCTGCAAACGTCTGGGGACTGAGGAGACATGTTGCTCAAGTTTAGGAATAGGAATGTTGTCCCATTCTTGTCTAATACAGGCTTCTAGTTGCTCAACTGTCTTAGGTCTTCTTTGTCGCATCTTCCTCTTTATGATGCGCCAAATGTTTTCTATGGGTGAAAGATCTGGACTGCAGGCTGGCCATTTCAGTACCCGGATCCTTCTTCTACGCAGCCATGATGTTGTAATTGATGCAGTATGTGGTCTGGCATTGTCATGTTGGAAAATGCAAGGTCTTCCCTGTGTAAGTCCCTCAGTTGTCCTCAGTGTGAAAAGATAGATCTCAAAATCATTCATTCATTGTTGGAAAGGGTTCAAATATGCAAAAGATTTATCTGTTCAGGACTCATGAACAACTATCACAAAACAAGCAAACAAAAAAATAGCTGTGGATCATCCAGGTAACAATACAGTATTAAGAATCAAGCATATGTAAACCTTTCAACTGGGTCATTTTTATAAATCCAACTATTATTTTCTCTTGTGGACTACATGTAAACATATTTTATGTGAAATATCTTATTCAGGTCAGTACTAAATAAAAAATAACATGCATTTTGTACAATCCCTCTTATTTTGGTAAAATAATTCAAATTTTGCAGATTCTGCAAAGTGTATGTAAAATTTTGACCATAGCTGTATGTGTTTAGGTATTGGGTAGGGTATGTTGAATATGTTCATGCAGAATATGGCATTAATATGCTAGTAATATTCATGCTAATAAGCAATAGTGAATAGTGCTCTCTAATCGAAAGTGTTACCAAAACATGCTTTTAAAATCCTTATGTTTCGTATCTCTTCTGCAGTATTTATCAGTCTCACTGTCTGTTTTCAGAAGAGAACCCCAGAAGCAGAAATGGTTGTGGAGGACAACTCTTCCCCGATGAATGAAGCCGCCTCCAGGACCAAGTTAGATGTCACTGAAGAGGCTGAGAATGAGCAGGTGGAAACAGAAGATGAATGAATCAAGGCATGGAAAGAAAAACATAGGTGGAAGATACATGTTTTCCTTTCATTTGCAGATGAAGTGCAGTACAATGTCTTGGGATTTGACGACAAGAAGCAACTAGTACTTTATAATTTTTTTTTTACATTTCTACAATCTCTCCATTACCCCAGTGGAATTGCCAGCTTGATTGATGCTTGTATGAGGTAGAATGAGCAGATTTGCATGTCTACATCAACTGCACTCCTGCACTCAGGCATATTTACACAGATGTCTTCCAAAGTTCCTGTTCTGCAGCCTCTGAACATTTTTGCCAAAATAGACCATTACAATCAGAAAACAAATCCTTGCAGAAAGACTGCACCAAGAACAGGCTTCAAAAATGTGTTTTAATGACTGAACTATTATCTGAGCTTTGACCCTGAGACATACCGTCCGTTTCCTCTTGCCTTGAGACGCACAATGAATAGTTACACTTCTGAGTGTATTATAACTTGCTCAAGAGGAATTTATTTTACTGACTTGGGGCACATACTAGATTTGATTGTGTATGTCAGTTGATTTATTTTTGTATTCACGGCACAAATTCAGGTTTTGTATACTTTGCAAATGTCACTATGGAGATATTTAGGTCTGAAGATCACTTCTATGTACAAAAGACTGTTTATTTGAGCTTTTGGGAAAGCATGAACAGATCATTTCTGATCAGATCTGATCCAGTATTTTGTGTTGGGACCACATTATAGAATCCATTTTCTTTTTTTATTTTCCAGATCTTAGAAATTTACTGTAAGTTTCACTTTCAATATCTATTTTGTCAAATTATTAAATGGAATGCAGTTTTGAGGTACTGGTTTACTTTAGGTGCTCGTGTTACTCGGTGCTTGTGGTCTAATGGAATGACAGCTCATATGTCAGCACTTATGAATGCTTTATGCTTATTAAACTAATGTTGTGCTAAAGCTTTTGTTGCATTTCTCATGTTTTGTGCATATTAAAGTCAGAGCCTGAATAGAATAGTCATAGAACAGAATATTTTATTCATATTTCCTCAAATGGTCTTGTCTTCCAGTTCTTGATGAGTATTTTACATAACCAATACTGTATAACTTTCTATGTTTGGCAATAAAATTAATCCGCGTTAATCTGTCATATATACAAAAATTAAGATGAGCAGGAAAAAGAAACCATCAAAATAAAAAGTGCAAGTACTTGTTGATTCACTACACAACAAACCAACTATTAAGCTTTTTTGAATTCTTGTTGGCATCTATATCGCCAGCTGCCTGCTAACATGATTTACGCACATTATTGTTGCTTTTAATGTCTGTTAAGAACATGTAAACATAAGTTATTCTGGCTTTTTTTTAAGACTCTTTAAGTGCTCCAATCTTTTTAAATTGACAATATTTTGTGTAGAGCCTCATTTAAATAGTTATAAAATCATAGAAAAAAGAAAACTTTTCAGTTTTATAAATAATGTTTAGAAAAATGGGCCGACATGTCAGACAGAATTTGTTTAAAAATTCTTCAATCAATGCTCATGGCTATTTTCTAAATTTTCTTTTATATTTTGAAACAATGCAAATTTGAAGTATGTAACGAATTAACTTTAGTAAGTAGACCATTATCTCATTTCCCATACTATAGCCTACCCACAATACATTCTTTTGAATTAAAATTCTCTCAAATTATTGTGCTAAACTTTTTTTTTAACATTGACAATGTAAATCAACGCAATTTCCAACAGTGCATAACACAAAAAATAACAGGGTTAAAGTAAAAAGGCAGTAAGGGTTTTTTTCCCCCCTTTCTGAAGCAGTGTTAATCATCACAGCATTTCCTGACAGGCTGATGATGTGATTCATTTAGAGGAAAAACCTGAGCACTTCTGCTTGCAATTTGATCTCGGTAAATTGCTGTAAATTCCCTTCACTGGATGACCAACAAATTATCAAAAAACAAACATCATGCCACTTTGTAGACCAGATTTGTTCTCTGAGGTCTCCGTTGTTAGGTCATCGTGATATCTTCTCTGTGCTGGTGTTGAACGCTCCTCCTGACAGGGACGTTGTAATGGCGATCGTCCTCTGTGACGATACACATGCAGGGCCACTCCTGCTTGTGGTCGTCTGGGTAATGTGTCACAAATTCCTCTGTGTCAGTCATGTACAGACGGAAGGCTTGAATGGTGTGCTTTAAGGCATAGCCCAGTAGAAACATCTCTACCTACAACAAACAAAGCAAACATACATTTAAATTGTATTTTAAAGCAGGAGCCTTCAAGAGCTGTAAGTCTGTCAGTGTCATCGATCATACTTGCCTGTTCTACCCCTCCACTGAAGCCGATCTGGCTCAGGTGATTGGCCAGGAGGGTTTGGGGGTTTTCGGATGTGTCGCGGGCAAAAAGGAGCCAGCAGAACACAGGCACTTCTTGATCTGCCGTCATGTTGTGATGAAGCTCAACAGCTTTGGCCAGCATTAGAAACTTTAGTGCTTCCAGAAGACCATACTCCTCTTCTCCGCCTTGAAACACACGCTCACACAAATTGTGCTTCTCCTCGGAGCTCTCACAGGCTGCTGCTGCCTGCCACTGAATAAAAAGCAAATAAAGATACAAATGTATAAAAACAGAAATTATCATATTTTATCTAAAAAGAGCCTGAATTTTACTTAAAGGTAAAGGACAATTTACACTAAATGCTGTGATTGACCAAGAAGAATATGCAATAATACACTATACTACTGTTCATATTCATTTATTTACTATTAAATTAATATTTTATATTCTTGCCTGCCCCATGCAACCAAGTGATTTCTGAAATCTGTGTGTATTACTAAATCAACAATGAATCATGAATCAATTAGTCTTGACTTGAAATAAATAAAAAGTGAGCAGGGCATCGGGCCAAATCAGTAACTCTGCCAGTGGGATTTTTCCTGGTGCTTCTGATGGCCAGGTCAGATGGCGACTTGATTTTGGTGAACAAAAGGGTCTGTTTCAATCATGCGATGCATTTTAGGAACAAAATATTCCTTTTGTGAAAGTAATATGTGATTGCATGTAGGGTTGGGTACCTATGTAACCGGTGTGTGTTTATCGATAGATTGTTAACTTATGATATCTGTGCAGTTCTTTGTCATAAATACAGTTTACAAAAGGTCACGAGGGAGCAATCGGTTTCCCATCTACTGTAAAGTTTTCGCTGCGTTCACCGCTCATCACACCACAGCTGTTTCCTCCAGCGAAAATCCAGCCCTTAACACATATGAACGCATACTTTATAAAATGATCATGTTGCTATTTTCATTTGAAAATTTTATATTTAATATAAAACATATTACAGTGCATGTGGCATACCATACAGTCATTCAAAGAACTGATTAAAGACAGTGAAAGACAGCACTCAAGTCAATTCACTCATTTTAACTAAATATCAGAGTGATTGACACTGGTATTAAATAATGACCCAGATCGTGAAATACATTTATTAGTCTTAGAGTAAGTTTATTAGCCTTAGGGAAGCACAACTCAGGAAATGAGAGCATCTGAGGAGCATGTGAATGCTATGTATATTTATTTTAAATATTTTTTATGTTCTTTAATGTTATCCATCGTTTTTTTCTTTTTTTTAAGTATTAGTTCAGACACTGGAACCGTTTTAAAAGTATCGATTTGGCACCGGTATCGTAAAAAACCCAATCCATACCCAACCCCAATTGCATGCATTTCATTTATGAATACAATATGAAATGGAATGTTACAAAATGTACAAAAACTATTCTTGGGCAAAATACATGTGTGAGAGAGACCCTTTTTTTTTTTTTTTACACGAAATTAGGTATGCCTAAAATTATACAAACTACAAATGTTACAATTGCCAGATGTTAACTCACAATGGTGAGCAAAATAAAGTCAGAATTGTAAGATAAAAGGTTTCAATTACTTTATTTTTATTCCATGATAGAATCTGGCTTCTATAATTAAGTTTAATGTGTTCAAAAACAAAAGCATTTATTTGAAATACTACCTTTTTTTGCTACTATATTAGTGCTGAGCAACGGTTAATTGTGATTAATCGCATCCAAAATAAAAGTTTTTGTGTACATAAAATATGTGTGTGTGCTATATTTATGTATATATATATATATATATATATATAAATATACACACATGCATGCATATATTTAAGAAAAATTTGTTATGTTTATATATTAAATATATATGTGTTGCTGACATATATACCATACATGTGTCCTATAGTGTAACAGCAAAATTGTGACAATAATAATGAATCATTATTAATAATTAATTTCTTGTTAATAATATACAAATAGCATAAGAGAGATTTTTCTTCATTTTTAGTTTTTTTTTCTAAATTTTTGCTGTCACACCATAGGACACATTTATGGTATATTTGTCAACACCCATATAATATAAATACAGTATATACATGTAAATATTTTCAAAATATATAATGTATGTGTGTGTCTTTATATATATATATATATATATATATATATATATATATATATACATACGGATGTGATTAATCGCTGCCAGGCACTTACTGTTACTTCTGAATAATTTAATAGATTAATTTAATTTTCTTAATTTTTTTAAAAATCTTACTTACTCAAACTATTTTATGTTTGAATAAGATAAATGTAATGCACAGCAGAAAAAAAGAGATTCACCTTCTTCTTAAGGAGATCCAAATAACATTTTATTCTCTCCACAGAACTTTCCTTCTCACTTCCTAACTTGCATTCTGGAGGAAACACCCATCCACCAATCAAATGGTCCTGAGCTTCAATCTTCTCTGGTAACTGTGAGAATAACCAGCAGCTGTTAATCCGAGCTAGAAAACATCACATACATTAGCTATGTTTACACATACCCAAATAATTGGATTGACGGCTCAATCAGAACAAAAATAGTAAATGTAAACACCTCAACTGATCTGAATGAACTGAAACGGGTGGTGTAGAAATAATCTGATCCACAGGCAAATATCAAGAATGTAAACGTCTGAATCTTTTAATCTCAAAAAGATTTAAAAAAATACAGTACCTGTGCCATGATGTGTATGTTTACATACGTTTTGCATCATACAAATGTGTTTATTTATGTTTCAAGTCTTGTGAACTGGTCAAGTGGATGAAATTAAATATTTACTAAATATTTGTTAAAAAGCTCTTCTGACACATATGTCAGCTATTTTTTTTTTAGCTGTGTCAAGGCTTGAATTATTCTCACGTTTGCTCTGGTGGCATTATCACAGTAGCCTTCTATATTTCCGCACACAGCGACTAAGCACTATGCATGCAAAGAAGTTTTGTATGAAATACATATGTGAAGCGGATTGCTATGTTTACAGTTCATATAATCAGAACTTTAAAAATCGGACTGGATTCATTCTGATTGCATGTAACACACCTAGTGTCATCTTATAAACTTTAGTCTGGGTAGACGCCAAATGTAATCTGACACAAATGAATAATCTGTACTCTTTCTTCATGTTACCTGCACCCAGATCTACCCATTTATTTGTCAGCTAACATCTACCGAATTACGCACTTTGACAATTGAGAGCTCCAGGGTTTTTGTTGATGTAGCACTACAGATCATGCTTTTGTATTCCTGTAGGATTAAACCCAGAACATTATTATGGGTGTTGAAGTCTTTTTACATTTTTGGCAAATGGGATCGCCACAGCCCTTTTCCTCTGCCATGTAGCACTGATTAAAAAAAAAATGCTGTTAATAAGAGTACAGAGGTCTCCTCACCAATAGAAAGCCTTCATCCTGCAGCCAGGTGGGCATAGCTGTGCTGTTTGCCAGCAGCTGATACAGTGTAGCTCGTAGAGCACAGTAGTTATCGCCTCTGACTCTCCTCAGTCCGCTAAAGCTGCGGGACATCTCACTGTAGCCCTGAGACAAACACACTGAAGCAAGTCAGACTTCTTAAAGAAGCACAGACAGGTCAATCAAAAGACTTTAAAAACATTTCAGGAAAAAATATGACAAAGTTAGTTAGGTCACCTTTCTGATGAGAGCACTTTTGGCCGTGTTTCCCTGCCATTCTCTCTCACTGTAGGCCAGTATGTCCACAGCTGGTGCTAAGCTACATCTGGTCTCTACACCAGGAACTAGACACAAAGAAAAACAAATCATGACAAACCCCCAATGAGATGTTAATCTGGATGCAGAAAACCTTTGGACCAGTATCTTTTACATTTTCGCAACGATTTGATTTGTCTGTAATACATTTCCTTAAAGGGATAATTCACCCAAGAATGAAATGCAACACATGTCATATATTGCAAGTGTTCTGAGTATTTCTGTGACCAGTAGAGTTTGGGTTCCTTGCCACTGCTGCCTTTTGGTTTGCTTAGTTGGGGACACTTAATATTGTTGACATGCTTGCACACACACTTTTGGAAGAGAACTGAACTGAGCTGAATATTGACGTCACTGAAAGAACAATTAACTGACTTTAACTGGAAAATTAAATTAACGGTTTACTCTTGTCCTCTGTTTAGAGCTGCTTTACAGCAGAATTGAATTTTTTTGCATTACATCATTTACATCATATTCAATGCCTAGGAACCTCAACTGTACTTTATTCACTAAGTTGAATATCTCTGGACCAGAACTCAGTTTGTCAGATGAGTCAGAATGACAAGTTGACACGTGAACACGATGTGCTTTTTGGGTCAGAGTGGACTTTGGTGCTAACAGAGTATCACAAGCGTTATATTTCTCCTTTTGTGGTCCTTTTGTGGGCATTAGAACAACACCAGGGTGAATAAATGACGACTTCATTTTTATTTTTGGGTAAACTAACCCTTCAACTATCAGATAGTGTGACATAAATGAAAAAATCATTAATACTTGTGAGCTCCAGCAGTGGTTTGGATGTCTTGTTATAGCTGGCTCCCATTTCAATCTCCTCAGCTCCCAGATATAGGTATGCACTCCTACGGCATAAAGAGGAACTATCATTCATATTCGTATGACAAGTAATCATGAGGAGTCTAGTTGGGAGAGCTAAAACTGTTATATTAAAGCACAACATCCCAGGTGATAATGATTCATCATGCAGGACAAGTCTTACTGGATCTAAAGAGGCTTTGTCATGATTCTTTAGCTCTTTTACGTCAGTTGTTCACATATAGTATGTGAAAATCCCTCGTTCACTACTACAAATCAGATTTTCTGAATGCTGATCTATTACATTATTGTAAATATAGTACTAGTTGAAGGAGTTGCAAGACTATACTCACAATATGTCTCTTCATTAATTTGTCTAATTAATAATTGATTCTGATGTCCAAATGCTTTCTGACCATCTGCTTTCCAAACTAAAAGTATTGCTGGAAAAACAGAATGAACGAGTGACACATACTCATCCAGTGTCTCGTGTGCTTCCTCCATACTTTCTTCTGTATCTTTCTGTATCTGTATCAGCTTCACCTCTACTGTGCTACTGCTAAAAAGGATCTCTGATTTTGGGGTGGCGGAAGTGTCTTCTTTTCCTTCATTTTCCTTGGCAACACTTGCTTCCTCTTCCTGTTTCTCCTTTTCATCTTCTGTTTGTTGAGGTCCAGTTTCTGCATCTTTTACAACTTCCTCCACTAATTTTGGCTCGTTCAACACAGGAACCTCACCTTTGTCCTCAGTGTCTTCTAGAGCAACTGAATCACTGTAAATGAGAAATGATAGAGTGGTTATTGGGCAATTCTGACAATGAGGACACAATTTGGAGTCATGTTTTATAATTATTTTAAAATTGCATTTTTTTATACTTAATGTTTGTTAATATTTTATGCTTTTTTTATGACCCCAAACTACATTCAGACCACAAATATTGCAAAACCAATGCCTAAAGTAATTTGTGATCTGTACGATTTTTTAATGTTTCTGAAAGAAGTCAAAGAAGTAGCTTATTCTCCTCAAGCATGCATTAATTTGATAAGACAGTGGAAAAATTACTACTATTAAAAAATATTAATATATTCTAATATGTGTCTGTGTATGTATAGTGCTTAAAAGCTTCGAGCAAAAAACTGGAACTATTCTAAATGTGGCCATTTCATAGTCTTAAACTATGCCAAAGGTCACTATAATCTATAAGGTTGAAAGGAATGCTGTTCAGATAGCAATTTTCTTGAAGAATTGTTTGAAGAACATCTGAATAAACACTGTTTAGACCACTGCTGATACACCATGTAGCCTAATCACACATTAAAACCTTATATAAACATCATTAAACAAAATGGTGCTTAAATGAACAGTGGCTCATTTAAGAACAAAAACAATCCGATTACTGCAACTGATGTTTACATTGTCGCTACATTGTACTTTACTAGTGTTTGTACTTTATTGACTGTTGTTTGCCTTGGCGTGACACAAACTTCCCTTTTTGGCAATTTGTCTATTTCTATTATGGCAGGTGTGATTACACTCTTAGTGTGTTGACACTGTAAACTAATTATGAACTTTTACACAGAGTTTTGCGCCACCTAATGGTAATAAAAATTAATATCAGGAAGTACTAACCTGGTTGGTTCAGTGAGTCTGGTTTTCTCAATGGGGCTTGATGGCACTGAGGCACTTGTGGAATCCAGGCCATTCTGAACGAGTTCTGTAGTCTCGCGCTCTTGCTCTGCAACCTTTTCACTCTTCTCTAGATCTTTCACAGAATCCATTACTTCCACATCAATAGTGCTGTAAAAGAAAAAGAGCTAGGCACTAGGGTCATTAGTTAACTAACATAAAAAAATAAAAAAAAAAATTTTGTATGAATTTGTTAAATAAACGTTAACTGAAATAGCATAAAATATAAAAACCTACACTTATTTTAATTCAGTTAGTTGCCAAAGTAACATGTCTCATTTTATTAACTCGTTACCTGTCAGTTTGTGTAGAGGGTTTAGATGACAGTTGCTCTTTACTCTCAGTTTCCAAGGTTTCTTCATTTGATTCCTGGACTATGTCTTCTGTTTGAGGCAGCTTTTCCACCGCCATGACATCATTCATTTCATTCTCAACTTTCAGACTCCCAGGGTCCTTCACAAGACCATGTTCTATGACAGGAGAGAGTCCATTGGTAATATCCACATTTGGAGATGAAGCTTCCTGTGAATGTTCCTGAGGTTGAGAAACTTCAGACGTCACTTGCTTCTGTTCTGCCATCTCAGAATGAATATCCTCTGAAAGTTTGTCCTCTACCTCAGCTGTTTGCTCAATGATGGGTTCCTCAGCAGTCACTTCAGCTACACTTTCCTCAATAACATCCGACTCATTAGACTTACCTAAAGCGCATGAGTCAGGTTCATTGCTGCTGTTGCCCATCAATGAAATATCCCCAGTGTCATCCCTCAGAGTTAGTTCCTCAGTTTGGATAATTTCCTTCTTATCTACAATCATCTCCACATGTGTTTCTAGCTCTGGTTGGGAGGGGTTCTCAGCCTCTTCATGTGTCACTTCATTGGTGTCACTCAGAGTTAGTTCCTCAGTTTGGATCATTTCCTTATCATCTACAATCATCTCCACATGTGTTTCTAGCTCTGGCTGGGAGGAGTTCTCAGCCTCTTCATGTGTCACTTCATTGGTGTCACTCAGAGTTAGTTCCTCAGTTTGGATCATTTCCTTCTCTTCTACAATCATCTCCACATGTGTTTCTGGCTCTGGTTGGGAGGAGTTCTCAGATTCTACCTGAGCAAGCACAGTCGCTTCTTCAACAGGTGCTTCCTTAACAGGTGTCTCCACAGCAGCTGAGACTGTTGAGTCTGAACTTGTTGCGGTAGCACCTGCATCATCTGTCAGTGCAGCTGTGATGTCTACCTCTTCAAATGACCCATGCGGAGCCTCTATCTCCCCTTTCATCGAGGCAACGTTCTCCGCAGGTGCTTGGACTGTATCTTGAGGTGCTTCTGAGACTTCAGCTTCAATGTTTTGGATTTCTTCCGTGATTTCAGTCTCTGTTTTTGGTGGTTCTGCAGCTAAGATTATAGCTTCTGTTGGAGCCGTTAATAGTGATATTGTTGTAGGGTAAGAGCTCTGTGGATTAAGAATTTGAGCGCTGGCATTTGGCTGCTTGGTTATAACCGATTCACCCAGCTGTGGTTTTGTTTCATCTTCATGCCTGTCAAGAGTTTTAAAATGCATTTAAGTTAATGTGGATGTTATGGAAAGAACATGAAAAACAGGATTTACTAGTTTGATGTACAGCACTCAAAGTTAACAATGCAAAGCTCTCTTCAGCCAATCTATGGAAAGGTGAAATATGAGTCGCAAACGTAAATAATTCAGAATTTGTCATGGTACCAATGTCATTATTATGAGGACATAACCATATGACTTTAGCATTTGATATTCAGAATTGAACAACTTAGCCCATCCAGATAAACGACAGTGCAAACTGTACCAAGTATGTATACTGTATCAAGTGTAGACAGCGTCAGTGATTTAGATATTAGGTTTTATTTGCTTTTGACACAACATTGTGCTTGTGTTCAGTGTAGACAGGTGACAAATTCCACAACATCCAAACAAGTCAGTTTGGGAGCTTGGTTAAATAAGTGTTCTTTTTGTACTGGAGAGGACGTTGTACGCTATGAAACTTATAACAGATAAAGTCACAAAATTTCAATTTCGAATCCATTGCGACTTGCACTGTCACTCACAAACAACTAATGATCCAACTAAAAAATCAAGTCTCCCACTACATTTGGTCTTGTTGTTTCATTCAGAGATAAGTCACAATAGGGGAAAAAAAGCCATCACAAGCTCTGTTTCATGCTATGTTAGTTAAAAGGTCAATCATTAACTTTACCTGTGCTCTTCATCTGAAGTTGGACTGGTGCAGACTTCCGTTCCTGCCTTAGTTGATGTCTTTGATTCAGAGCTGTGCAATAAACCTTTAGTCTCGTCCTCTGTATGGTCACATGGATTTTTTCGTCCACAACAATCCCAAAAGTTCCCCATGTTGGCACAGGCTGCAGTGATAGCTTTCAATAAATCCACTTCTCTGGGTTTAAGTTCAGACCAAAGGATGTGCAGTTTTCTAGAGCAAGTCGCTTCCACTTCCAGAGGGCTAACCATATACAAATATTATTTCTCCAGACAAGATTCTACTTGCCTCGTACCAATACATTTGAGCAGTGTCTGTAAATAATGTGTATCTGTAAGAATAGTCCAGCTACAGGAGCTGACCATAAACTGCACTTCTGAGTATCTGGTCATCTGCTCAAACCTGCAGATTAAAAACAAACACAAATTCCCATGTGAGTATAACATGCCATTTCTTCATCTGAAGACAAATCTGAAGTAAATCAAAAGACTGTAAGAATTTGAAAGCTTCTTACATTAAGGTGATCTTGTACACATTACAATTTTACAGTATTAACAATAACTGTAATATATATGGAGAGTGTTTTGTTTGAACAGGTGTTGTTGAACAAATCCTTCTCGTTCTCTTCCATGCATTGATTCATTTTTCATTTGTGGAATTCTATTCCTTTTGACATGTTTAACTGTTTTATAAGTCAACAATTATTAATTGTTTTACTGTCTTCAAAGACTGCCTACAGCACTAGCGAATAGCATTCATGGATTAGAGCTCTTTAAAGTCTCTATTGAAAAAATCAAGGCAACTGAAAAAGTTGGTGAGCACTGTTGAACTCTGTAAGATTTGTTTCCATTTACTCTGGATGTGTCGGAAATCACCCCTATTCCTATTTGAGTGGTAAGCCATTTTTAGTGGTTTCCAAAAACATAGTGGATATTATCGAGACACCCTCAGTGAATTTGCTCACTTGCACTCACTTCCAAAACATCAGTACTAATCTTGCTGGATCTGTCTGCTGCTTTTGACACAGTTAATCTCCAGATCCTCCTGTCAACCCTTCATGACAAAGGGCTTTGCAGGAACCGCACTCCAGGGGTTCGAGCCTTACCTCTCAGGCAGGCCCTTCAGGGTGTCTTGGAGGGATGAGATGTCTAATCCACAAAACATCTAACTACTGGGGTGCCTCAAGGCTTAGTGCTTGGACCACTTCTCTTCTTCATCTACATGCCATCAGTAGAATCTGTAATTCAGAAACAAGGCTTTTCCTATCACTGCGTTGGTGATGACACACAACTTTACTTCTCATTCCAGCCCGGATGATCCAACAGTAGCTGCTCGCACCTCAGCCTGCCTGACAGACATTTCTTGCTGGATGAAAGGCCATAACACTCAACTCAACTTTAGTACTACAGAACTGATTTTAGTATCAGCCAACCCAACACTTCACCACAACTTCTCCTTCCAACTATAGGCACATCGACCATAACTCCTTTGGACAACCTGGAACCTTGGAGTTATAACTGGTGATCAGTTAAATTTCACAGACCACATCACTAAAACGGCCCGGTCCTTATACAACATTAGTAATATCAGGCCCTTCCATTTGGAGCATGCTACACAACTCCTTGTCCAATTTCTTGTTCTATTCCAGGCTGGACTATTGTAATGCTGTTTTGGCAAGCCTTCCAGCATATACTTTCAAACCTCTGGAACTGATGTATAAAGCAGCAGCAAGTAAATGACCTTCAACGAGAAGAGAGTGCATGTCACACCTCTTCATCCTTTTGCACTGGTTGCCAATAGTCGCTTGCATCAAATTCAAGGTACTGATGTTTGCTTACAGAACAACCGCTGGCTCAGTGACCCTTACACTACTACACTAAACTCACTGACTTATGTGACTTCCACCTGTTTTCTTTACTTTGACTGTTTCCTGCTGGTGAAATGTCCTGTCTAACTCAACCAGAGTCTTTAGACACATCTTTTTAATACTAGCACCTTCTGTGTTAGACTAACTGGGACTTGCCACAGCACTTAGATATTGTTGTCGTTTTATTGGTTTAATTGCTTCTATTATCCTAATTTGTAAGTCACTTGGGATAAAAGTGTCTGCCTAATGATTAAATGTCAATGTAAATGAGTCAGTGGAATGAATTAAAACCCCTAGCAAGGTAAATTTTTGTTAGGGAGTTTCCATTCTTTTCCATTAACAGAAAAACCCAAGAGCAAATTCAAACGTTTTTTTTTTTTAGCTAAAATACATATCACCACAAAATATTTCACAATGTATTTTCTTAAGTAACTTCAATATGTATTTTCATTTTTATGACAGTTATTGTGCCATCCTTGGGCAATTCACAAGTCACTCCAGAACCAGAATGACACGAAATATAAACATGCATTTCATATCAGCAAGACTTCCAAGTTTTCTAATTGATTTTGACTACTTTTTAAAACCTTCATTACAGGTATTTCAGAAAGCCAGTTGCTACACAAACAGACTTTCAATTTTAAGGAGACTTTCACAATATATTTTAGTTTTCCATGTAATTGATTTAGTTTTAGTGTTTGTACATTATTACACATGGTGACTGAGGTTGTTTTGCGGCGCAAGGCACAAGTGTCCACAGCACTCAGAATGATGACATTGTTTACCAGACACTATTGCAACACTGCCCTACACGTAAGTATATTTAACCTGTTAGCAGTTATTTCCCCCACCCCAAAAGAGCCCTAAATATTCCTTTAAGCAAACAGAATGTATTTAACTTGGATTCCCAAACTCAGCGTTATTTAATAAGACCCAGCATAAGCACCGTCATGTGAACTGTCAACATCACTGCGTGTTAGATTAATCGATACTTCAGATCGCCAAAATTTGTATGGCATGAATGTTAAAATAATCAAATGTCATAATTCCTACCTAAATGTGAAGAATTCTCCATTTAGTTGTCAAGACAGACGACCACTTTTCGCGTCCAGGAAGATCGACGTGTATTAATGACCGTATGTAGTTTCACTTTCCGTCTATGAATATACTCCCCACAGGAAACTGTGAGCGTCAATGTTCTCTACTGATAATATTGTTTCTTGTCTAATAACGTGCTTTTAACTAACCAAAAGAGAGAGAGAAAAATAGTCAAGCCAGAGGGTGCCTTCATTTCTTCTATTCGGTCCTGTTCTTCCTTTACAACTCTTGAAGAGGGCAGGCAGTACATGGTCTCAGATTAAAGGAATGTAGTGAAATCTGATTCTAAAGGTCTCCACATCCATTAGCCACACATCTACACAGTACACAACTATCTTGAACCTGCATTAACACAGTCTGTCTAAACATAAAGTTAAAAGGTATACACTTTTGCATACTTCTCAAAAGAATGTTTTGTTTGTTTGTTTGTTTTTACATAATTAACATACTTTAAAGGGGTCATATGATGCGATTTCAATTTTTCCTTTCTCTTTGGAGTGTTACAAGCTCTTGATCTATAAAGAAGATCTGTAAAGTTCCAAAGACTAAAGTCTCAAATCCAAAGAGATATTCTTTATAAAAGTTAAGAGTTTATAAAGTATAAAATATCTAACACGCCCCCACATATCTACATCACTATGTGAGAAGATTTGCATAACGCCGCCCAAATGTTCACGCAAAGAAAGAAGGTGTAACTTTTATACTGGCTGTAGTATTGTTGCTGCCGCCATGTCGTGAAGGCGCTGTGTGCTTCGTTGTGAAAGTGAAACTACTTTGTTTGGTTTTCCAAAAGAGGACGATATCTGCTTCGTCATGCCTGGAGCTGATCCGTGCTGGTTGCTGAGGAAATACTACAACTTTGCGCTGTGGATCATCGGATCGGCTTTCACCGTGGACGAAGCGGAGTCCAGCCAGAGGTCGTCACATGTGGTTGCCGCAAGTCCCCCGGACGCTCCTTCGTCGAATCCGCCGGCTCTGCTCACTCAGCCCGCCGGCCGTTCCTCACTTTATCCCCCGGCCGCCGTGTGTGACGCTGTGTTTTGTTGTGAAAGCGAAACTACTTTGTTTGGCCTTCCAAAAATGGACACGACTAGAAATCAGTGGTTAAGTTGTATTTACAACACTGTTCCAGAACACTTCAACCCAAATATTCAGATGTGTGCAGCGCATTTTATGGAGGACCGTTTCCTGATCCTGGTAGAGTAGATTACAATGCCAGCTGTTCTGACTCACAGACTGTAAGTATGTTTTTTATATTTTATATATTTAAAGCAAGTTTTTTGGTCAGTGTAGAGTAGGGCTTGTTGTTTGTCATTTCTCCGATCACAAATGCAGACATGGTTTTATGTTACGCAGCGCGATGCAACGCAACACGTAAAAAGACAGTATAAGTCATTATAATCCATAATTATGTCCCCACTGGATGCAACGAATGCCTCATTTATAATGGGTTTTAATGTTTTTGTCTCGTCGCTCCGGCCGGACAGGGCATCACAGTATGGTGAGGGGCGTAACATTTCCGTCAAACACTTGAGGTATTCGGCCAATCACAACGCACTGGATAGCTGGCCAATCAGAGCACACCTCGCTTTTTCAAACCGATGAGCTTTGTAAAAATCAACACGTTTCAGAAAGGCGGGGCATAGAGGAGAAACAATAATGTACAGTATGTGGAAAATAATGCGTTTTTTTAACCTTAAAACGCATAAACACATTTCATTACACCAAATACACAAAATAATGTTCTTTTTAGCAGCATCATATGACCCCTTTAATATATTTCTGTATGAACAATGTAATGCTTTTGTACACTATAATGCACTTAATTCCTTTTGGCCATGTATTTGTTGTGAAATAAAAATGTGTTATAGTTTAAATTTCAATGTCACTGCTTAAAGCACAACAAAAGATTACAATAATTATTAAAAATGTACTTTAACTTAAGCGTACATAAGGATCATGAAAGTCATAAAAGTGTACTCCGTCTCCAAGTACACTTATGTGGATTTTGATTTCATTAAGATTGTTTGGAAATACATTTTTTAAATATACTTTTAAGATTTGAAGTACACTACAAGTGCACATTCAATTCAACTGTGTGTGCATTCAATACAATTATGCACACTTTTTCCATCAGGGCAGCTTAGTGACATTACATCCAAATTGTGCCAAGATAAAGCTACTACTCAGTTATGTTTAATAAAATATATTGTATTTATCTAAAATGGCTCAAATTAACTTCAAATAAATAAGTAGTTACATAACAACTTGATTAAATAAATAGCTTTTATTTGGTGGTAAATGGTACAATGTGTGAAAAAGTTAGATAAAAACAAATAAATGGATGGAGGTTGACTGGAAAGAATTGATTTTTGTTTTTAAACTTTACATCAGATCATTTATAATATAAAGCAGTTGTAGTACAATCCAGCAAAACTGCAGTTCAATAGAATCACAGCAATGGAAAAAAAATATCCCCTTAAATACACAAATCAATTTGAGTCAAATAATGCACAGGCTATTTTCTTTCCGGGAACTTGCTTGTTGTTTCCTGACCACACAGGATGTTATTCAGATACTCTGCTGCAGTGGATCCACTTCAAGTGTCTATGAGCTGCTGAATGTGAAGTTTTAATTCTTCAGGAATCCCCAGTTCTGTTCCTAAGTCCAAGCAGCACTTTAGCAGCCGTTTCAGACTCTCTCCTGTAGACAAAGAATGCTGGCAAAGAGTTCTTGGTGAATCTTCACTCACGCCTCCAACGTTTCCACAGCAGTCATTATTCGCTCTACCTCTCCCACAACAGTCCCCATTATTTGAGCACCTAGATTCTCCACCTTGGTTCCTTTGCTCGACATTTAGGTCCTCCATGTCATCCACCATCTCAGTCACACTAGGTGGAGGCCTCTGCTGGGCTTTCCTCATGTCCTCCACCAGTCCGTCCTCATGCGTCTCCAATCTCTGAAGCAGATCAGTAACTGATGCTAAAGCAGGGCTTCCAGGCAGCTGAACCTGACACCAGCATCGAACAGCACTGTGGAAGGAGAAGACAATGTGACGATGGTCAAAATGGAGAAAGGACACAATAGCTTTAGGATATGAGCAGGCATAGTGGCACAAAAAGCACATTTTTAGATTTGATTTGAACTGCATGGTCCTTTTTTATACGAGTGAATTGATCATGATGTGCGAAAGAGGTGTTATTTTAATATTATTTAATACTTTATAACAATTAAAGTTATTATTAATATTTTGAATTCTCTTTTATTTTTATATTTCAGTTTTCATTTTAGTTAAATATTGTGAGTAATTTTAAATATTACTTAAATTTAACACAATATTAAACTATTTAAATGAACAAAAACATTGTTAGTAGTTTTAGTTAACAATAATAACCCTGGTGTAAACTCGACAAGTGTTATTTTATTTTTTAATTTATTTTTTATTATTATTATAGGCTATTATAGTATTAATATTTGCATTAGCTTTCATTTGTATATTTTCAATTGTAGCCTAGGTTTTTAGTAGTTTTGCTTTGTGCTCATGTCATTTGTATTCATTTTTAAATATTTCTATTCAGCTTTATTTTATTTGATATTAGTTTTAGTATTTCAGTACAGTTAGCGATAACAACGCAGCTTGACAAGCAATATGAATTCAAAATTATTCTCTTTTTTGTTGTTGTTTAAAACAAATGCCGTTTCTTTTGACGTTTTGTTGTACCGTTTATTACCAGAACGTTCCGAGAATGTTAGTTTTTGTTGAAAAAAATAACCTACACAGAACAATCCTAGAACTTTAGGAATTGGTTTCCAAACAATACCAGATATAAACCATACAAACATACATACAAACCATCAGGGGAACATTCTGTGTTTACTAGTACTGTATTTTAAGGGGAGACACTGCAGGCAAAAACACTGTTTTTTCATGCACCTGTCAAATTTGAGATTTTGGGCTTTTTGGTTTTTCATATTTTATTTTATTTTTCAGACTAGTGGAAAGAAAACATCCAAAAGACACTGTTAAGTGTTTCTTTTATAGCACTTTATCTATCTGTGTCAATAGATTTCAATTACAATGCATATTTTTAAAGGCCGTTTTCTCAAAATGAGTTTTTTCTCCTACACCGAGCCATAAATCTCCGCTTCATTAGCACTTACACACACCAAACTTTACATTTTTATTTCTGTCTATATCCTGAAGGTTTTTACAGAGGGATTTGTTCATATATATAGTTTGCTTGATTATATACAACATTTTATTCCCCCTAATATTGTGAAAATAGTGTTTTCTGTCCGTTCTAAGCATTTTCTGAATTATGTAGTGACAAAAATGAGATACCCAAAATCCCCTCTGTAAAAACTTTTGACTCTAATATGTCAAAAAAAAAAAGTTAAGAATTTTGAAACTGACATAATCCAGTGTTTAGATTCTTGTACTAGAAATGTATGCAAATTAGTGCATATTTCATTAAAGGGGTCATATGATGCTTTTTTAAAGCTCATTATTTTGTGTATTTGGTGTAACAGAATATGTTGACATGCTTTAATGTTCAAAAAACCCATTATTTTTCAAATACTATGCATTATTGTAGGTCCTCTATGTCCCGCCTCTCTCAAACGCTTCGTTTTCTACAAAGTCCCTCCTTCCGACAAGCGCAGTCTGCTCTGATTGGCCAGCTGACCCAGTGCATTGTGATTGGCCGAACACCACAAGCACTCGTCGGAAATGTAACGCCCCTTACCATAATCGCGAGCTTCATCTTTCAAAATAAATGTAAAGACAGTAAATAATGTCATTAGTTTTACCATCAGTTCAAGCCTGAAAGGGGAACAGAGTCGCGTGACAGACACAGTGATGAAGCTGGTATGTGTTTGCAGTACACAAGCCACGGTTAAGACAGCTGACTCCACTGTGATGTGACTCTCTCTCGCTTGCTTGCTTGCTTTCCACATAGTGAGGTAGATATGTGGGGGCGTGTTAGAACGAGCCGTTTTAGGGGGGCGTGGCAGAGTCTTAATTTTGATAAAGAATATCTCTTTGGTTTTGAGACTTTAGTTTTTGCAACTTCAGGGATCTTATCTATGCACAATCAGCTTGTAACACTCCAAAGAGAAAGGAAAACTTGAAATCGCATCACATGACCCCTTTAAGAATGAACTTGTAATACAAAAAATGTTTGCAATTATCAACATAATCAATCAGCTGG